CAGCTTCCCCGGCTACTCACCGACGGAGCGAGGGCGCTGCGAGGGCGCGGGTCGGCGGCGGCCGCGGAGCTCCGCAACTCTCTCCGCGACCCGATCCCCCGACTCAGAGCCGACGGAGCCTCGGCGCCTGTGTCTACCAGGCCTCTCTCCTGCCCGAAGCCTAGACAAGCACTTCCGGGGGAACGGGGGAGGGCAGGGTTTTGGCACCGGAACTGCTCCCGGGCTGGAGTTGCCAGGCCTCCCGGGAGGGGCGGAGCCTCTGAACCCGGCGCCCGCCCCCGGACTCCTTGCTAACCCTTGTGGCCCCGCGGCCCCTGGGCGACGGCTGGTACCCCTTATTTTAACTGATATTAGGATTGTTCCCCTCTAGCCACCTAATTCTATGGAGGCTCGGAGAATCCAGCCGAGCCCAGTGCGTTCACCCGGCTGGCCGACTGTCCCGTAGTGTTTTCCCCACTTGCTTCTGTCTCGCTTAAAAACGCAGTTGACATTAATCGAAGGCTTACTGAGTGGTAGATAGTGCATTACGCGCTTCGGCTGCGTTAACTATTTTAATCACCTTCAAACTCCTGGAAATCGGTGCTATTCTCTACGTCTTACAGACAAGGAAACCGGCCAGGTACCAAACTTTACTGCAAATGCTGGCTCTTGGTTTTATTTTAATTTGTGGTATGTGTAGAAATCTCGTCTGCTCCATACAAGACTTTTCAAACTATTCAAAGAGAGGAGCCAAACCCTATTCCCCTATATCGTTCATCCTTTTCACATTCAATAAAAGCCGGGATGAGAGGCTCTGGAACCTCAGTGTCTGGAGCCTGCTGTTATTTTACTTTTCATCTTGACGATTTAGTTAACCTTTTTAATTTGTGTGCGTGTGTTCATCTCTGTATTGTAAAAGTTAACAATACTTTAATGCAAGGTAACCCTTTCACGAACTGACCAGTAACAGGCACTAGAGAAGACCTGGAATTTTGAAGCTCTGACCAAAGGCAGGAGGAGAACCCACAGAATCAGAAGCCAGGCAAGAAAAAAAAAAGGGGGGGGAGGTCTTTAAAAACTTCCTCTGCCACAAAATCAGTAAAACGTCAGGTTTTGGAGGCAGGTTTTCTCTCTGGAGCTAGATCCCACGGAAGGAGAAACAGCAAAAGGGCTCCAGCCTGGCAAGATACCTTGTGTCTGTACTCCCAGCAGTTTAAAGACTGAGGCAGGGAGACTCCTGAGAGTTCCGGCCAGCCTGGGCTTTTTACAGTGAGTTCCAAAGCCAGCAAGGACTGTGTAGCAAGACCTTTGGAGAGAGAGACAGAGACAGATAGAGAAAAGAAAAAGCCTCTTAGAATTCAGAGAGAAAGAGAAAAAAAGAAAAGGCCTCTTAGAATTTATAGTGTCAAACAAATACTTCTGGGAAGAGTCTTGAAACAGAAAGACAGAGTAAAAGAAAACTCCTTATTACAAATTTAAGATGCAAACAATCCCATCACTAGTGCTGTATTTAAAGTACCGCCTTGTGTTTTATGTAATTGCAGAACCGTTTGTAAACACTTCCATAATTCCCAAGTTCAAGACGCCCTTCCATGCCTCCTAGTAGAGTGAAGCAAATACCAGACTCCGCACAGTCAAAACTTCGGTTGTCTCCAGCCATACCAACATGCGCACACGTGCGCGTGCACACACACACACACACACCACACACACACACACGCCGAGGCCTGGAGACCTAATGAAAGGAATACTCAATCACAGACTCTCATCTAACTGGTAAGAGATGTAGCCTGGATTTAAAAGTGAATTTGTATTCTTACGAGCTTCTCACCACCTTGCCAAGCAGTTCTTAAGCTTGGAAGTGCAGCGCAATCACCCGGAGGGCTTGTCGAGCCACTTGCTGGTCCCCATCCCCAACCTTTCACTCACCCGGGATAGTGCTTCTCAAGGTGTGTCCACGGTCTAGCAGCTCAGCCTCACCTGAGAACTTGTTAAAGATGCAAATAACCAGGCCCCGCCCCAGACCTTGTAAAGCTGTAACTCTAGGTTAAGCCCTGACAATCCTTGTTTAGAGTCCTCCCCAGCCAGGGCCTTCCGATAAACTCTTGAGTTAAAGAACTACAGTGTTCCAGAAGCCTAGTGTTCACATATATTCTTTCCTAATTCTAGTCAATCTACAGCGTGGGATTGTTTTTGTTTTGGAGGGCTGAGGGCTGAAGTCTGTCTCTCAGGCCATTGGAAGCAAACGCCACTGAGCCACATTCTCAATAAGAAAAAAAAAAAGTCTGCCTGTTAATTAAATGACATTTTGGAACATTTTAATGAGTTTTAATGGGAGTTCTTTTTGATTTGTACTTAAATTGAACCAGATAATTCTGGGTTGGGGTGGGGGGGAGGGCGTTGGAACAAATCTTACTTGAGGACTGTTCGGTGTTGAGGCTTTTACCTGCATTTTCTAAATTAATCTTCACTGTGCTGTGAGGTTTTATGGCCTTACTTTCACAAATGAGAATAGCTGAGACAGAGGTGAAGTAATTGACTTAAGGCCACATTCTTGTTCTGGGGTCGAAACGGGATTACTCAAAGTTCCCTCTAATTCCAAAGCTCATGCGCTTTCCATTTTGTGGCTGGAGGCTGGCGAGCCGAATTCCAGTGGCTCCACCACCCCAGCTATGCGGCATTGAGTAAGCGATTTCATCTCTATTTTCAATTTCTCCGTCTATAAATAATGTTATCGTAAATCTGCCCTTCCCACACGAGAATGTCAAAATAAATGAGGAAATAAAAGTGCTCTCAGTTCTTTGAAGGAAAACAGTAAAAGGGTTGTAACAAGTTACGGTCTTGTGCGTTTAGACACGGCATCCCGTTTGGGAACTTTTTGCTGGTTCTCCCCTTGATTCACACAGAAGAGTGCCCCACCCCCAAAAGTTGTTTAAATTCATTTGCCAGGGTCTCCTTCCCTAAAGAAGATGACAGAAGATCTTTTTTCTTTGCAGGGTGGGGGAGTGGTTTGGTTTGGCTTTTCTAGACAGGGTTTCTCTCTGTAGCCCTGGCTGTCCTGGAATGCTCTATAGAGCAGGCTGGCCTCGAACTCACAGAGATCCTCCTGCCTCTGTCTCCCCCCCCCCCCCCCCCCCCCCCCCCCGTGCTGGGATTAAATGCACCACCACAACCCAGGGACAGAGGATCTTCTCTGTGTGATTTTAAAACTTTACAGAGAGCAGGGCCCAGAAGTTCACATGAGTGCTTGTAATCCCAGTGTTTAGCACGTGGAGGCAGTTACAAGCTGGAAGACAGTCTGAAATATACATTGAGCCCCTGACTAAAACTCAAGGTGCTGGGGTTTAGCTCAATGATAGAACGCTTAACACGCCCAAGGCCCTGGGTTTTATCCCCTGCCACCCTGCCAAATGCGTAATTTAAGGGACAGGAATTTCTTACAAGGTTCACAGATCCCGCTTTGTTACCAAATGCTAGCCCACCCCTCACCCTAAAAGCACTTTTAATCCAAACTATTTTTTTTCTTTCCATTCCAAGCACCCCTCCACCCTCCTGCTTCCCCCACCCACCTCCCCCCCACCCCCGCGAAGGAAGACTTAAAATTCCTGTTATTTTATTATGTAGAAGGATTTAGTTCTTAATCTTTATCTCAGACCAGACTCCAGGCCATCTTTACTGACTTAATAGCCAGGTTGCACAACCGCAGGGGATGCTGTTCACAGAGAATACAGCCTGAATGTTGCTCAAGGGGGTGCCAGTCACACCGACCCCATGCCTCGTGGAGCTGCGCAAGGCGAGGGCCCGGCGCTGCTGAGCAGCTATCCCCAGATCCATTAAGGCAGTTTGTTAAACAAAAGAGCTGCACTTCAGCGGTCACCCTTTGCCAGGCCTGGAGATAATGGGGTTCTTTGTTTATGCTTTGTTTGTTTTAACATAGGCCTGATCCCTTACCACCCAGCCTCAGTCGAAGGCTCCACACTTCTCTGTGGCATTTTTCACTGCCTTCCCGATACCGTCCGTCAAATCTTCCCAAACCTAGGGGCGTTTTAAACGTTTTGGTTTTATTTTTCGATAGGCGTTTATGAAGCAGTTTGGGCTCACTTCTAGTTCTCGTTCCTCTTGCCTCCACCTTCCAAGTGTTGGGGTTACAGACGAGTGTCACTCTGCCTGAGTGGAGTCTTTTAAAGGTGAAGATGATCACACTTTGTCTACCTCAACTTTTCTGCCGTCTCTGGCACAGTGCTTGAAAAAAACACTGCTTTGGGTGGGGGCACTATGGACACTGTGCGTGTTGAAGTGTACGTAGAAGGGTTTGAAAATCCGCTCTAGAATGCGTTTGTCCCATAATTTGTGTACCGAATTGTACCGAATTTTGTACCGAAAACAAATAAATAACCTCAAAGTTTGCTCTTTTTTTTTTAAGATTTTCTTTTTCTTTTTTAATTTGTTTTCAGACTTACTTTATGTGTATGAATGACTTGCCTGTGCCCAGAGACGTCAGAAGAGGCCAACTGGATCTCCTGAAACTGGATTTATAAATGTGTGTGAGCCTCCATGTATGTAAAGGGAATGAAACCTAAACCCTCTAAGAGCATCCTTTGCTCCTATCCATTGAGCCGTTTCTCCAGCCCCAAGATTTATTTTATTTTTAATTATGTGTGTAGGCGTGTGTCTGCATGTGAGTATATATATACTTGTGAGAGCAACTTCCCGTGGAGGTCAGAGACTTTAGATGCCCTGGAAAGTGGTTTTGTTTTTTTTTTTTTTAAATTGTAAGCCACCCGCCGCTGGCACTAGGACCCCTTGGGGGCCCTGGGAAAGCAGTGCAGTGCATGGTCTTGTTTGTTGTCAGTAACTGGTGGGAGTAGTAGTGGGTTTTATTATTTGTGAGTTTGTTTGTTTTGTTTGTTTTCCTGTGTATGAGTGTTTTGCCTCCATGTATGTCCGTGCACCATGTGCAGGCATACAGAAACCAGAAGAAGTCACAGATGATTGGGAGCTGGCCTGTGAGTGCTGGGAATCAAACCCAGTCCTCTGGAAGAGCAACCAGTGCCCTTAATCACAGGGCTCTCTCCTGCCTTTTGTTTGGTTTTTGAGACAGCATCTCAGTGTGTCTTCCCAGCTGGCCTGGGTGGACTGTAACTGTGTAGACCAGGCTAGTCCCAAACTCACAAAGCTTTGCTATCTCTGCCTCTCAAGTGCTGGAATTACAGACATCCACCACGATGCTCAGCAAAGAACCATACAGGCTCTTAGCCGCTGAACCGTCTCTCCAACTTATCAACTCAAAGCTTTAAAATTGAGGCCAGGGATGTAGCTCAGTTTGTAGAGTGCTTGCCTATACAATTCCTTACCTGTGGGTGTAGAGAGATGGCTCAGGGCTTAGGAGCACTGCCTGTTCTTCCAGAGGAGCTGGGTTCAATTCCCAGCACCCACATAGCAGCTCACATCTGTCTGTAACTCCATCCAGTTCAGGGAGATCTGACACCTTCACCCCAATGTACATAAAATAAATTTAAAGAAATTATTATTAGAGAAAAATCCCTGGGCTTGACTCTTCAGAACCACACTGAAGTTTCTTAAAGAGCATAGGAGTGCTGATGCATGCCTATAATCCCAGAATTTGGGAAGGAGAGACAGAAAGGTCAAGGGTTCAAGACCCTGTCCCCAATTTCTTTTTTCCTGGCAACTCTTGAAGCTTAACATACTCAGGAAAGCATCTGGGACAAGGCACCATTGTCTTTGGTTCAGATGCCTCCTGCCTTCTTCATCAAGGTTAGTGAATTGTTCTCCCTCACAAGTAAAATCTCTGCTCTAGACATTAAGTCTGGGCCACTAGGGTAGAAGAGAACATGGACATTTTAAAGAAACAATGTAGAATCTTATTGTAACTATTTATTTGAATGTATTTTGAAAGAGTTTAAAGGTATTTTCTTGGAGAGCGGTTCCCCAAATGGCAAGTGTAGACAACAAATTATATAGTCTACACTAATGGGTTTTGTTTTGTTGTTTGTAACAAAGTGAGCAGCCCAGGCTGGCCTTGAACTCACTAGGTAGCCAAGGATGACGTGAGCTTATGAGGTGCTGGGGATGGAAGGATGGAAGCCGGGGCTTTACGCATGTTAAATACCGGAACAACTGAGTTACATGACCAGATCACCTACCACCACCAGCTTAAAGGTGCTGTAGGTACTAGCTGTCAACTGTTTGGAAAGAGAAAAGACAATATCAGATACTTAGAAGCAACTCTGAGATTGAGATCGGATCTTTCTGTCCCCTTTGTTCTGAATGGAGAAAGAGCCCAGAAACAGCTGTTTAAGGTGGACAGCAAGGGGCAGAGCTGGGCTTAGAAACAGACAGTCTGTCTCCTGAGACACGGTCCTAACCACTACACTAGTATTTATGGGGCCTTTCCCATGTGACAGAGCCATGCCCGCCTCCCACCTGGAAGACCTGATTTATGGAAGAATGTGCCTATCTCCTCCAGGCCTTTTAGAGGAATCTGTAACAAAGCCACAAGAACCTTCTCATCTCCCTCCCTCAGCTTCCCACGATGTACTGACGTGGTGATCATCTTCCTTCTGAAGTGTACAAACTGCCAGACATCTGAAGTTTTCTGAAGTCTCATATGATACTTGTGTGAAGTTGGTTTTTCCCGAAAGTTACTGCCGAGTCTTCTGCCCATAGTGAAAGATTTTGTTTTGGTTTTTTTCTCGCGGACGATGGATGCAAGCTAACAAGGTCAGCACTGGAAACCAGTATCTGTAGTCACATTGTGCTGGGGTAGAAAGATGGGAGCTAGTAAGAGTGGATTTGAGCAAAAATGTCACCTTGACACAAATGTAGCAAAGCCTCAAAAATAACCTCAAGGGAATAGGCACCAATTTTTTTTTATTATATTTTGCATTTTATTTTCAATTAGCTATTAAGAAAAAGTATTAGAACTTACACTGGCCTATAAAAGGGTTAAATTAATTGGCGTCTTGTCCCCAGGACTAAGTTATTTAAATGAGTATAAAGAATGAAGGGTTACATTTCCACCTCTACTCTCTTTTTTTTTATTATTATTATTGTGTTGTTTTTTTTTAAACCAAAGTGGTGGCCCAGGAGCCAGCAAGATGGCTCAGTGGGAAAGGGTGTTTGCCCGAAAACCTGTGGTTGATAACTGGAACGCACATGGCATGTGATTGTCCTCTGCCAACCTCCCTTCTGCCAAACACACACATACAAAACACACACACTATAAATATTTTTCATTTCATTTTAAAAATTGTTGCCCATCTGACTTGGCCTCAGATTTTCCTCCTGAAAAATGCACATGATAAACGCATCTTTCTGTCATGGAGATGTTTTGAGACGTAGCTAATAAAGGATTATAAAGCCCAGGTCTTTGAAGTATAAAGCACTGCATAATTACTAAATGCTATAATAATCATCCTTATAATAATAGTAATTTTCAGCCAACACATCAGCCAGCCCCAGATGCCTTTAGTCACCTCCCAATTAGACAACAGTGTATATGCCAACTATGAAATACAATCAAAATCTTAAACCACAGACCAGTTCCATTCCCTCCTTCTTCCCCTGCAGAATATGAAGGTTGCATGCCAGAGAGAGAGAGCTTAGCCTCAGTGCCTCAGACCAGCTTGTGCCAAACAAACTTCTCTGGCCTGATCCTTTTATTTTTTAAACCACGGTTATTTATTGGTTTGCTGGAGATATGCATTCGTGCCACGGTGCACGTGGGAGGTCAAAGGGCAGCTTGAAAGAGTAAGTGCTCCTCCATACACCACGGGGACCTCAGAGACAGAACTCAGCTTCCTCAGCCTTGGCCGCAAGCACCTTCACCGCTGAGCCGGCTCACTAGCCCGTGGTCTGTTTCTTCACCTATGAAATGTTGACTGATGGTGCCCAACTGTGTTTCTGTGAGAGAGCAACAAAATAACACGGAGAGAATCCATCCAGAAGTATACTAGAAGAGCTTAATGAATGTCAGTAAGGACGGCAACCAGGCCCGATGTGTGACAAAGCTTAAAATGGACAGTAATCTAGCCCATGCTTTTGAATAGAAGAGAAAGTAAAGTCAATCCACGCAACTTGAAGAATGATTGAAGCATTTACCAGTTATAGTCCAAGTACTTGAGTGTTAAATTCAGATTGCACAGGGAACGGTGGGCCACTTTATTTCCATTTATAACGGCTGTTTTTGTAATAAATGACTATGTTTTGGTTGTATATGATAGGGGTGGGTTAAAATGTGAAAGTGCCTCTTTCCCACTAGTGACCCCAACCCCTGGCTCCCTTCTCTCCACAGATGTGACCAAAGCCAATGGATCATTATACTGTTTTCCGGGCCCTTACCTGATCTCTTACGTTCCTACAAACAAAATCCAACATTCAGGCAATGTGTGTACTTACAACATTCGTGCTTAAAACTCTAGAAGAACAGAATCTTCCAAAGATTATTTTAAGAATTTAACATTTTTATGGGTTAGTGTTTTGTTTTAAGCCCAACCTGACCTCAAACTTGTGATCCACCTGCCTCAACTTCCAGCATGCTGGGATTACAAACATGTACCACCAAGCCTATCATGTAATATATAGATATATGTAGTATATAAATATATAGTATACATATATATTGTAATTTAATATAATATAAATAATATAATATCTATCTAATATATTAAAGTTTTCATTGACTTATTTATATATCTTTATGGAATATAGTGTGATATTACAATGCATGTATACAATATCTAACAATAGGATTGAGGTAATTGATCTATTCCTTATTTTAAACACTTATCGCTTCTTTGTATTAAAAATTTTATAATTCTGTAAATTTTGCATTTGTATTTTGAATTTGTATTTGAACTTTGTATTGACTTTCATAACAGTGTAAATTTTTTTTTTTTTTGAGACAGAGTTTCTCTGTAGCTTTGGAGCCTGTCCTGGAACTAGCTCTTGTAGACCAGGCTGTCCTCAAACTGAACTGACAGAGATCCACCTGCCTCTGCCTCCCGAGTGCTAGGATTAAAGGTGTGTACCACCACCGCCCGGCAACATTGTGAATCTTGAAGTACTGAGTCAATTGTTATGTGAGGAGTGTAGCTCAGAGGTAGAGTACTTACCTACTGTACTCAGAGCCCTAGGTTTGAGTACACACACACACAAGTCAGCCATGGTCAGTCAGTATTATGAACGCTGCCCCTCTGCACCCATTAATGCGTGAGTGGTGTTAAACTCTGTGATATTTACCAAGCGGTGATCTAAATCAGGAACTTGCCCATTTGCCATCTTACCTCCCTGAAAACCATGCCTGTTTAAGACTCCTGTTGGAACGAGTTGCAGTGCAAATGCTTCCTTTCTTGGTAAAGCAAATTTCATTTTCCATCACATTTTCAATGCCATGTAATAGAATCCTTTTCTAATCTCCACAGAGTGTATGAGGGCGAGGAACCCAGAAGCCTAGGAGCTTTCTAAACGGTGACTGTGGAGAGCAGCCAAGGATGTAGAATGGTGCCAAGTTCAGAATCCTCAAGTTGCTCCCTGCAACTGCAGAAACGCGTGTACAAAGTGTACTTCACAGGGGCAGAGCATCTCACCTACAAAGAGAGAGCACAGGCGGATAATAGTGGGGATCAGGGAATAGAGTGTTTCAGGAGATAGCAAGAGAATGTTCTCTGAAGAAAAAGCCAACGACTTTTGGAGAAGGAAGAAAGGAGAATTAAGTCAGAAGTCCTCGCTACACATATTTAAAATGTTTCTCTTATAGTAAATTAATGGCCGAACTTTTATTACTCCTACAGCAAGCTCAATGCACTTAAAAAGATACATACAAATGTGGAAATCCAAAGTTATTCCTAATTTGAAAGATGTTTAATTTGAAATATCCCTGGACCCAAACCACTGCAAATGTTTATTGCATGCTTGTTGTGCACGAGGCACAGGATGTTACAGAGAATACCAAGAACGCCGAGCACCAGAAGAGAATAAAAATGCCAGTTGGGGAGATGAGTTGTGGTCTCATAGAAATGAGCCATAAGGCTGGAGCGCATCTCCTGATGATTGCAGAAGGAGTAGCAGAGTCGTTAATTCGGGGAGACCCTTTTCATCATTCATGCTCTTAAGACCAACTCTGAGATGGAACTTAATATTTTAAAGGATTTGTAAAGGACCCCGGCGTTTTTTAAGTATGGCTGTAAGGGAGTTCAAAGCACAACTAGGAACTCTCCTGCCTCAGACTCCCAAGATCTGGAATTACAGGCACACTTCACCACACCTGGTCTTCGGCGTGACTGCAGTTTTAAAGCGTGATGTTAGTCCTTATGGACTCCTGTAGCAAGACCTCCAAGTCAGGTCGCTCTCGTGTTTCCCCTCAACTTCTTACATCTGAAACACCCAGAACTCCATCCTTTGTTTTCCTCATCTATGTTTCCCTCCATTAGTGATCTCATCCACTTTCAAAGATGTGCATGTTATCTATAAGGTAACCATGGACAGAGGATTTCGGGGTGGGGGGGATCAAGAATTTAAAATGTTACGTTGAAAATGTCTCCTCTACTCCGATAGTATCCAAAAGGAGAAATTCCCACAGGCTGCTGTAGTGCCCTGAAAACAGGCTAGCAAGAGAAGACTCTTCAAGTTCAGTGTGGGCTACAGCCAAAACAAAAACCTGGAGACAGAGCAGAACGGTATGGTGCGCTGGAGTCAGAAAGGGAACACCATTCTAGGTGAGGGGATGGGATGGGTGTGGGAGGGTCCCTGATCAAACTCCTTTTGACCTCTCCTTCATGCCATTGTTCCTATGATTAAGACCCCAATGTCATCATTTGATTTAGGTTTCTAATAAACTGACGTAGATATTGGGAGAGGTGACAGAGGAGGACTGTGTAGAAGGATGAACACAATGGTACCCTGAAGCTGAAAGCAACTGTAAGCAATCCTATGTTTCCAATACGCTCTCCATATAAATGCTTCTCCCATTGTTTCTGTGACACCCTCTGCTTTTCACTTAAGTACCCTCTTCACAAGTAAAATTTGCAAAGAGTCCTCTTTCTATATTGGAAGGCCTGGCTACTTTTCTATGATTGCAGTTTACCCTGCATTCTGTGTGAGCATAAACACATAAAATATTTATACATCCCTCCAATCTATAGAAAAGTCACTTTGGGGACTTGAAAACAGACTCGTCACAGATGGAGAGGATGTGAGAGAAATGCCCTCAGTGTGCTGGCTCAGAACTGCAGTGTCTGCCCAGCACTGTGCCTCCTCTCATAACGGGATGCTCTGCTGAATGAGCCCTTGTATGTCAAGATTCAAAACGTTCTTGTTTGCTCCAGTCGAACAAAGCTCTCACAGACAGTGGGATCTGCAGGGCAACCACCGAGTGTATTAAACCAATGTTCCCTCAACCACACTGTGAATGGTTTATCGTAATGGCAGTTCACACCTTCATGTATAGAGGCTGCTGTGCTGTTTGTGCAGCCCTCCTGCACAGAGCCCCACTGACTTCAAAGGAAGTGACATAGAACAGAACCCCAAGGTGTAAGGAGAAGCAAGCAGTATCTCCTCAGAACTGGGCTAGTTTTTGTTATTTGTTTGTTTTTCAGGCTCTCAGTAGAACTGGCTAGATTTATATACCAAATATCTAAAGACAGGCTCCCGCTTTAACAGTTTATGAGTTGTCAGATATGTGGCTATGTATTGAGAAACTAGACACTGAACTGTTTTTGTTGTCGTTTTGGCTTTTTTTTAATGAAGGCGGGAAAGGGGGTTGTAGTGTAAAGAAACCCACCCCAATTCCGATCCCATGGTTTTCCTGGGGTACAAGCCCCCAAGAGGCTGAAGCAATGTTGGACAAGCTTAGTAGTTCTGTACACCGGAAGCCACCTTGATGCAAACCCTAAGAAAAGGCAAAGAGGAGAGAGAGGAGGAAGAGGAAGAAAAATTGAAAATATAAGTGTATATTAAATCTCTAAACAGTGAGGCCTTTCTAAGCTGAAAGGCCAGGAGAAATCACTGATGATTAATAGACTAACCTACCCAGATCTTAATATTTCTACATAAGCAAAATCAAAATAAGAAAGACTCAAAAGGGAAATAAAAACTTGTGGCAATTTTGGAAGGCATAATAATGATATTTCTAATGTATTAGAAATTTCTGCACATTGGCTAAAAGTAAAGCAAATTAAGTTCCAGATGGATGGAGTTAAAAGTATAACTTTTTTAAACTGTTCAGCAAAAATAAATTAAAAGAGACTGTGCAGCCCATGGATAAGGAAGTGGGATATGCAGGGTAACCACCTTCAGAAAGCCTAAAGTCATATAAAACTATAAAGAAACATATCAACATATTTAACCATATAAAATTTAATTTCAAAAATTAAAAAAAATACAATTAGAGCTTTAGGTATAGCCCAGTCATACAACATGTGCTTAACATTTTAAATTTTAAGTTCTGGTATGTCAAGAAAGAAAAAAAGAAGAAAACATTTTCAATTAACTTAGAAAATATTTACAACAAACAATTCTTTTAAATTTGCAAAGACTCAGTAAAATTGACTTTTTATTAAAGGAATATTGGTATTTTTTTTCTTTTTTTACATGCATAGGTGTTTTGCCTGCATATATACCTGTGGACTGTGTGCATGCCTGATGCCCACATAGGCCAGAAGAGATCATTGGATTCCCTGGAACAGGAGTTAAAGAGGAGGGTGAGCTGCCATATGGGTTCTGGGAATTGAACCTTGGACATCAGGGAGAACAGGCAATGCCCCTAACTGCTGAGACATATTTCCAGCCCCTTGGTTTACTTACTTATTTTTGTTAATGTACTGGAACCATTCATGGTGGTATACATCTGAGCACTCAGAAGGCAGAGGCCAGAAGATTGCAAGTGAAGGCCAGTTTTAACTAGATGGTGAGAAGATACACAAGGAAGAAAAGGAAAAGGAGAAAAATTAAAAGCACTAAAAGTTCCTTAGGAAAACAAACAATTCAATTATTTTACAAATACATACATTTCAATGGCTGACTAACAAGCATTTGAAAAATGTCCAGTTACTTATAACCAACAGACTCAATGGAATACTCTTTTTTTTTCTAGCTTCACATTAGTTGATAGCAAAAGATGAACCTGTATGCTGTAGTCCTCTCCAATGCAAGCAAATAGAAAATATCTTGAAAAACGACTTCAAAAAATCAACAAAGTGGGGGCTGGAGAAATGGCTCAGCAGGTAAGAGCACTGACTGCTCTTCCAGAGGACCTGGGTTCAATTCCCCAGCACCCACATGGCAGCTCACAACTGTCTGAAAATCCAGTTCCAGAGGATCTGACACCTTCACACCAATGTACATAAAATAAAGATAAATAAATCATAAAAAAAATTTAAAAAAAAAATCAACAAAGTGTTGAGGAGATGGCTTGGCCAGGTAAGAGCTTGCAATGAATGTAGAAGATCTGAGAGTGCCTCACCAGTACCCACATGCACACAAACAAACAAACAAACAAAAAAATGAGTGTGTGACCCTGAAATCCCAGTGCTGGGGAGACAGAGACAAGAGGATGCCCGAGGCTCACTGACCAGTCTCTTTAGCCGACCGATGAGCTCCAGTTCAGTGAGAGAACCTATCTCAGAAAATAAGGTGGCTAAGGTATCAGTATCAGTTAGAACATGATACGATACATAAGACCCTGTCTTTATATGTGTGTGTGTGTGTGTGT